TTGCCTTGGCCGTGTGTTTTGGGTCATTGTCATGCTGGAATACCCATCTACGACCCATTTTCAATGCCCTGGCTGAGGGAAGGAGGTTCTCACCCAAGATTTGACGGTACGTGGCCCCATCCATCGTCCCTTTGATGCGGTGAAGTTGTCCTGTCCCCTTAGCAGAAAAACACCCCCAAAGCATAATGTTTCCACCTCCATGTTTGACGGTGGGGATGGTGTTCTTGGGGTCATAGGCAGCATTCCTACTCCTCCAAACACGGCGAGTTGAGTTGATGCCAAAGAGCTCCATTTTGGTCTCATCTGACCACAACACTTTCACCCAGTTGTCCTCTGAATCATTCAGATGTTCATTGGCAAACTTCAGACGGGCATGTATATGTGCTTTCTTGAGCAGGGGGACCTTGCGGGCACTGCAGGATTTCAGTCCTTCACGGCGTAGTGTGTTACCAACTGTTTCTTGGTGACTATGGTCCCAGCTGCCTTGAGATCATTGACAAGATCCTCCCGTGTAGTTCTGGGCTGATTCCTCACCGTTCTCATGATCATTGCAACTCCACGAGGTGAGATCTTGCATGGAGCCCCAGGCTGAGGGAGATTGACAGTTCTTTTGTGTTTCTTTCATTTGCGAATAATCGCACCAACTGTTGTCACCTTCTCACCAAGCTGCTTGGCGATGGTCTTGTAGCCCATTCCAGCCTTGTGCAGGTCTACAATCTTGTCCCTGACATCCTTGGAGAGCTCTTTGGTCTTGGCCATGGTGGAGAGTTTGTAATCTGATTGATTGCTTCTGTGAACAGGTGTCTTTTACACAGGTAACAAGCTGAGATTAGGAGCACTCCCTTTAAGAGTGTGCTCCTAATCTCAGCTCGTTACCTGTATTAAAGACACCTGGGAGCCAGAAATATTTCTGATTGAGAGGGGGTCAAATACTTATTTCCCTCATTAAAATGTAAATCAATTTATAAGATTTTTGACATGCGTTTTCTGGATTTTTTTGTTATTCTGTCTCTCACTGTTCAAATACACATATCATTAAAATTATAGACTGATCATTTCTTTGTCAGTGGGCAAACGTACAAAATCAGCAGGGGATCAAATACTTTTTTCCCTCACTGTACGCGGCCAAGCTTGGTGGTGTTCATTCAGACGCTGTCTTTCCGACAGCCCTGTTCTTCACCTGTGGACGGCTGCTTGCGTTGTGGCCGAAACGTCGTGAGAATTTTATTTTATTGTTTTATTTTTATTATTTTATTATTTCCCTTCTACGTGACTTTACCTTCAGCAATATTGTTTAAAACAAACACATACACACACACACTATATACACACGGGTGCGTATATAGTGTGTGTGTTTGTTTAAAACAAACACACACACATTATACACACACACTATACACACGTGTGTGTATAGTGTGTGTGTATAGTGTATAATGTGTGTATGTGTGTAGTGTGAGTGTATAGTGCGTGTAGTGTGTGTATATAATGTGTGTATAATGTATAAAGTGTGTAGTGTAGTGTGTGTATATAATGTGTGTATAATGTATATAAAGTGTGTAGTGTATAGTGTGTATAAAGTATAAAGTGTGTAGTGTGTGTGTATAAAGTATAAAGTGTGTAGTGTAATGTGTATAGTGTATAAAGTGTGTAGTGTGTGTATAGTGTATAGTGTGTGTATAGTGTGTATAATGTGTGTGTGTATATAATGTGTGTATAATGTATAATGTGTGTGTGTATATAGTGAGTGTATAAAGTATAAAGTGTGTAGTGTAGTGTGTGTGTATAAAGTATAAAGTGTGTAGTGTAGTGTGTGTGTATAAAGTATAAAGTGTGTAGTGTAGTGTGTGTGTGTAAAGTATAAAGTGTGTGTGTATATAATGTGTGTATAGTGTATAGTGTGTATGAAGTATAAAGTGTGTGTGTATATAATGTGTGTATAATGTATAAAGTGTGTAGTGTAGTGTGTGTATAGTGTATATAAAGTGTGTAGTGTAGTGTGTGTATAGTGTATATAAAGTGTGTAGTGTAGTGTGTGTATATAATGTGTGTCTAATGTATAAAGTGTGTAGTGTAGTGTGTGTATAGTGTATATAAAGTGTGTAGTGTAGTGTGTGTATAGTGTATATAAAGTGTGTAGTGTAGTGTGTGTATAGTGTATATAAAGTGTGTAGTGTAGTGTGTGTATAGTGTATATAAAGTGTGTAGTGTAGTGTGTGTATAGTGTATATAAAGTGTGTAGTGTAGTGTGTGTATAGTGTATATAAAGTGTGTAGTGTAGTGTGTGTATAGTGTATATAAAGTGTGTAGTGTAGTGTGTGTATAGTGTATATAAAGTGTGTAGTGTAGTGTGTGTATAGTGTATATAAAGTGTGTAGTGTAGTGTGTGTATAGTGTATATAAAGTGTGTAGTGTAGTGTGTGTATAGTGTATATAAGTGTGTAGTGTAGTGTGTGTATAGTGTATATAAAGTGAGTAGTGTAGTGTGTGTATAGTGTATATAAAGTGTGTAGTGTAGTGTGTGTATATAATGTGTGTATAATATATAAAGTGTGTAGTGTGTGTGTGTAAAGTATAAAGTGTGTGTGTATATAATGTGTGTATAGTGTATAGTGTGTATAAAGTATAAAGTGCGTGTGTATATAATGTGTGTATAATGTATAAAGTGTGTAGTGTAGTGTGTGTATATAATGTGTGTATAGTGTATATAAAGTGTGTAGTGTAGTGTGTGTATAGTGTATATAAAGTGTGTAGTGTAGTGTGTATAGTGTATATAAAGTGTGTAGTGTAGTGTGTGTATAGTGTATATAAAGTGTGTAGTGTAGTGTGTGTATAGTGTATATAAAGTGTGTAGTGTAGTGTGTGTATATAATGTGTGTATAATGTATAAAGTGTGTAGTGTAGTGTGTGTATAGGGTATATAAAGTGTGTAGTGTAGTGTGTGTATAGTGTATATAAAGTGTGTAGTGTAGTGTGTGTATATAATGTGTGTATAATGTATAAAGTGTGTAGTGTAGTGTGTGTATAGTGTATATAAAGTGTGTAGTGTAGTGTGTGTATAGTGTATATAAAGTGTGTAGTGTAGTGTGTGTATAGTGTATATAATGTGTGTATAATGTATAAAGTGTGTGTGTATATAATGTGTGTATAATGTATAAAGTGTGTAGTGTAGTGTGTGTATATAATGTGTGTATAATATATAAAGTGTGTAGTGTAGTGTGTGTATAGTGTATATAAAGTGTGTAGTGTAGTGTGTGTATAGTGTATATAAAGTGTGTAGTGTAGTGTGTGTATATAATGTGTGTATAATGTATAAAGTGTGTAGTGTAGTGTGTGTATAGTGTATATAAAGTGTGTAGTGTAGTGTGTGTATAGTGTATATAAAGTGTGTAGTGTAGTGTGTGTATATAGTGTGTGTATAATATATAAAGTGTGTAGTGTAGTGTGTGTATAGTGTATATAAAGTGTGTAGTGTAGTGTGTGTATAGTGTATATAAAGTGTGTAGTGTAGTGTGTGTATAGTGTATATAAAGTGTGTAGTGTAGTGTGTGTATATAATGTGTGTATAATGTATAAAGTGTGTAGTGTAGTGTGTGTATAGTGTATATAAAGTGTGTAGTGTAGTGTGTGTATAGTGTATATAAAGTGTGTAGTGTAGTGTGTGTATATAATGTGTGTATAATGTATAAAGTGTGTAGTGTAGTGTGTGTATAGTGTATATAAAGTGTATAGTGTAGTGTGTGTATAGTGTATATAAGTGTGTAGTGTAGTGTGTGTATATAATGTGTGTATAATATATAAAGTGTGTAGTGTAGTGTGTGTATATAATGTGTGTATAATGTATAAAGTGTGTAGTGTAGTGTGTGTATATAATGTGTGTATAATGTATAAAGTGTGTAGTGTAGTGTGTGTATATAATGTGTGTATAAGTGTATATAAAGTGTGTAGTGTAGTGTGTGTATATAATGTGTGTATAAGTGTATATAAAGTGTGTAGTGTAGTGTGTGTATATAATGTGTGTATAATGTATAAAGTGTGTAGTGTAGTGTGTGTATAGTGTATATAAAGTGTGTAGTGTAGTGTGTGTATAATGTATATAAGTGTGTAGTGTAGTGTGTGTATATAATGTGTGTATAATGTATAAAGTGTGTAGTGTAGTGTGTGTATATAATGTGTGTATAATGTATATAAAGTGTGTAGTGTAGTGTGTGTATATAAAGTGTGTATAAGTGTATATAAAGTGTGTAGTGTAGTGTGTGTATATAATGTGTGTATAATGTATAAAGTGTGTAGTGTAGTGTGTGTATATAATGTGTGTATAATGTATAAAGTGTGTAGTGTAGTGTGTGTATATAATGTGTGTATAATGTATATAAAGTGTGTAGTGTAGTGTGTGTATATAATGTGTGTATAATGTATAAAGTGTGTAGTGTAGTGTGTGTATATAATGTGTGTATATTGTATATAAAGTGTGTAGTGTAGTGTGTGTATATAATGTGTGTATAGTGTATATAAAGTGTGTAGTGTAGTGTGTGTATATAATGTGTGTATAATGTATAAAGTGTGTAGTGTAGTGTGTGTATATAATGTGTGTATAATGTATAAAGTGTGTAGTGTAGTGTGTGTATATAATGTATATAAAGTGTGTAGTGTAGTGTGTGTATAGTGTATATAAAGTGTGTAGTGTAGTGTGTGTATAATGTATATAAAGTGTGTAGTGTAGTGTGTGTATAGTGTATATAAAGTGTGTAGTGTAGTGTGTGTATAGTGTATATAAAGTGTGTAGTGTAGTGTGTGTATAATGTATATAAAGTGTGTAGTGTAGTGTGTGTATAATGTATAAAGTGTGTGTGTATATAATGTGTGTATAATGTATATAAAGTGTGTAGTGTAAATGTGTAATCGCCGTGTCGGCTCGCCCAGGTCGTGAGGAGCGGTCTGGGCGCAGACTGCAACGCCCGGTCGCCACGGCAACCGCGAGGCCGCGTGGAGTCGGACGTCATGACGCACAGTCGCAACGTCATGACGGACTGAGTCGTGACGTCACGACGCACGGGGAAATCACGTGGTGCGTCATGGCGGCCCCCTGAGTAACATTGAGACAGTGCGTTGACGGTGAGGCACAATCACCTGAACATCCTTCCTGTCACTACAATCATCACCGCCGCCGTCGTCATGACTACCACCGTCATCACTGTCACAATCATCATCGCCGTCGTCATGACCACCACCGTGGTCACTGTCACAATATTCACCATCACCGTCGTGACCACCACCACCACCGTTATCACCATCATCGTCACCACCATCAACGTGAGCATCAGCATGATGGACATCATCAGCGTCACCAACATCAACTCCGTCAGCGTTGATTATTCTAATGCGCTTGTTTACCCAAGAGAGGCTCAATTTGAGACGAGTGTTTCCAAGTTTTTGCAGCAGGGTGCGATGTTGCTGCTGTATGTGATCCCAATTGAGTAATTTGCTGGTGGTTTCTCAGCATTGGGATGTTTGGCCAATAGCAGTTGCATTGTGTGTTGGCTCTTTCTTTAGCTATGGGAGGACCCGGGAGTAAATCCGTGCAGAACAGGGGGATAACATATAAGCTCAACACATGCACTCATTCACACACAGAGCAGGGGGTAACATACAAGCTACACAGTCACCCAGCCCGCGATCTAACCCAGGGGGTAACATACACACTACACAGTCACCCAGCCCGCGATCTAACCCAGGGGGTAACATACAAACTACACAGTCACCCAGCCCGCGATCTAACCCAGGGCTTACTGCTGGGAGGCACCTCAAGTGTCACCGTCCTGCCGCACCCGAAACGTAAACAATAACATCGACAGAAATGTCAACAACATCACCATCAGCGTGACTCATAACATGAAAATCATCGTTACATCCACATCCCAATCAACAATTCAACATCCTCGTCAACTTCAACAACATCAAAATAAACATCACCACCATCATCAACGTGAACATCATAGACATCACCATCAACGTGAACGTCACCCCAAGCCCCCGTGGGTCTCGCTTGCCCGCGACGTCTCGCAGTGAGCGCGGTCGAGTCGCGGTGTCCGCTGGGACAGGGGATGGGGGGTGCGCGCTCTGGGGGGGCCCGTGTTGGGGTTAATTGGTTCACGATGGGGGTTAATGAGCCGCACGTGCGGACTCCCCCCCGCCCCGAGCCCCTCCCGGCGCCTCGCGGTGTAAAGTTGCGGAAAATGACAATGATTGCAGCACAGGGGAGGGGAGATGGGGGGGGGCAGAGTTACCGGGGTCTGGGAAGGGGACCCCCCACGACGCCTCCCCCACCCACCCACCCTGGGGCTTAGGAGCCCGTGGACTGCTTGTGGATACCGTCTGATAGATTTAGTACTGCATTGACATTGTGCAATGCTTGTGTATACTGTCAGTGACACTATGCATTGCTTATGTATACGGTACTGTCTTACACGATAGTACGTTATACTGTCAATGGCACGGTATTATACTTGTATATACCGTCAGTGACAGTTATGATTCGGGCTGCTGAAATTGGTTATTCCGCGATACTGGTAACTCCATGAAAAAAAGGTTTCAGCTTACCGCAAGTATAGCGACGTCTGGAGCAACGAACACGCCGCGTCAAGCTGTTAGAGTGATCAATGAAAGGAGCCACCATCCGTGGTGGTGGTGGCGGAGTGGTCGCACACTGGACTCGCGCGCCACGGGTGGTAGGTAGTTGGTTCGATTTCATCTCCCGGGGCGGGATTTGAAGGTTTTTTTCAACTTTAACTGAGAAACACGGGCGACCAGCGCATTCATTTCTCGCATTCCACTGGAATCGGTTACTGGTTTCTGATATTCGTAACCGGTAACCTATTCTGAAAACATTTACCCTAGCCCTAGCACTGGCTATGGGAGGCTGTCAAGCCTAGAGCGTTGTGCACAAAGGGGAATTGTCGAATTTACGTCTGACTTTTGGAACATGACACAGGAATTTGAGGCACGTTTAAACTGCCATGGTTGGTTGGCCTGTGTAGTCGGTAAATTGAGAGAAGGTTGCAAGCAAGGTATTTGTAAATGTCCAAAAGATAAACTAAGACAAATGAGAACACCTTGAGCAATTCCCATTCCTGTAAACTTGAATTTCCAAACAGAAAAAAAATCAGTGAGGCACTTTATGCAGCCTGTCTCAGGGTGAGTGTAGTGAGGGGGTGATGGGTGAGGTGTCTGAGAGAGGGGGGGAGTGGGGGGGGAGTGGGTGAGGTGTCTGAGAGAGGAGGGGGAGTGGGGGGGGGTTGGGTGAGGTGTCTGAGAGAGGGGGGGAGTGGGGGGGGGAGTGGGTGAGGTGTCTGAGAGAGGGGGGGAGTGGGGGGAGTGGGTGAGGTGTCTGAGAGAGGAGGGGGAGTGGGGGGGGAGTGGGTGAGGTGTCTGAGAGAGGGGGGGAGTGGGGGGGGAGTGGGTGAGGTGTCTGAGAGAGGAGGGGGGTGGGGGGGGATTGGGTGAGGTGTCTGAGAGAGGGGGGGGAGTGGGGGGGGGAGTGGGTGAGGTGTCCTGAGAGAGGTGGGGAGTGGGGGGGAGTGGGTGAGGTGTCTGAGAGAAGAGGGGAGTGGGGGGGGAGTGGGTGAGGTGTCTGGGAGAGGGGGGGAGTGGGGGGGAGTGGGTGAGGTGTCTGAGAGAGGAGGGTGAGTGGGGGGGAGTGGGTGAGGTGTCTGAGAGAGGAGGGGGAGTGGGGGGGGAGTGGGTGAGGTGTCTGAGAGAGGGGGGGAGTGGGGGGGGAGTGGGTGAGGTGTCTGAGAGAGGAGGGGGAGTGGGGGGGGTTGGGTGAGGTGTCTGAGAGAGGGGGGGAGTGGGGGGGGAGTGGGTGAGGTGTCTGAGAGAGGGGGGGGAGTGGGGGGGAGTGGTGAGGTGTCTGAGAGAGGGAGGGGGAGTGGGGGGGGTAGTGGGTGAGGTGTCTGAGAGAGGGGGGGAGTGGGGGGGGAGTGGGTGAGGTGTCTGAGAGAGGAGGGGGAGTGGGGGGGGATTGGGTGAGGTGTCTGAGAGAGGGGGGGAGTGGGGGGGGGAGTGGGTGAGGTGTCTGAGAGAGGTGGGGAGTGGGGGGGAGTGGGTGAGGTGTCTGAGAGAAGAGGGGAGTGGGGGGGAGTGGGTGAGGTGTCTGGGAGAGGGGGGGAGAGTGGGGGGGGAGTGGGTGAGGTGTCTGAGAGAGGAGGGGGAGTGGGGGGGGAGTGGGTGAGGTGTCTGAGAGAGGAGGGGGAGTGGGGGGGGAGTGGGTGAGGTGTCTGAGAGAGGGGGGGAGTGGGGGGGGAGTGGTGAGGTGTTCTGAGAGAGGAGGGGGAGGGTGGGGGGGGATTGGGTGAGGTGTCTGAGAGAGGGGGGAGTGGGGGGGGGAGTGGGTGAGGTGTCTGAGAGAGGGGGGAGTGGGGGGGAGTTGGTGAGGTGTCTGAGAGAAGAGGGGAGTGGGGGGGGAGTGGGTGAGGTGTCTGGGAGAGGGGGGGAGTGGGGGGGAGTGGGTGAGGTGTCTGAGAGAGAGGGGGGAGTGGGGGGGGAGTGGGTGAGGTGTCTGAGAGAGGGGGGGAGTGGGGGGGGAGTGGGTGAGGTGTCTGAGAGAGGGGGGGAGTGGGGGGGGGGAGTGGGTGAGGTGTCTGAGAGAAGAGGGGAGTGGGGGGGGAGTGTGGTGAGGTGTCTGGGAAGAGGGGGGGAGTGGGGGGGGAGTGGGTGAGGTGTCTGAGAGAGGGGGGAGTGGGGGGGGAGTGGGTGAGGTGTCTGAGAGAGGAGGGGGAGTGGGGAGGAGTGGGTGAGGTGTCTGAGAGAGGGGGGGAGTGGGGGGGGGGAGTGGGTGAGGTGTCTGAGAGAAGAGGGGAATGGGGGGGAGTGGGTGAGGTGTCTGGGAGAGGGGGGGAGTGGGGGGGGAGTGGGTGAGGTGTCTGAGAGAGGGGGGGAGTGGGGGGGGAGTGGGTGAGGTGTCTGGGAGAGGGGGGGGGAGTGGGGGGGGGAGTGGGTGAGGTGTCTGAGAGAGGGGGGGAGTGGGTGAGGTGTCTGAGAGAGGAGGGGGAGTGGGGGAGGAGTGGGTGAGGTGTCTGAGAGTGGAGGGGGAGTGGGGGGGGATTGGGTGAGGTGTCTGAGAGAGGAGGGGGAGTGGGGAGGAGTGGGTGAGGTGTCTGAGAGAGGGGGGGGAGTGGGGGGGGGAGTGGGTGAGGTGTCTGAGAGAAGAGGGAGTGGGGGGGAGTGGGTCAGGTGTCTGGGAGAGGGGGGGAGTGGGGGGGGGAGTGGGTGAGGTGTCTGAGAGAGGGGGGGAGTGGGGGGGGAGTGGGTGAGGTGTCTGGGAGAGGGGGGGGCGTGGGGGGGAGTGGGTGAGGTGTCTGAGAGAGGGGGGGAGTGGGGGGGGAGTGGGTGAGGTGTCTGAGAGAGGAGGGGGAGTGGGGGAGGAGTGGTGAGGTGTCTGAGAGTGGAGGGGGAGTGTACGGGGGGGGGGAGTGGGGAGGAGTGGGTGAGGTGTCTGAGAGAGGAGGGGGAATGGGGGGGAGTGGGTGAGGTGTCTGAGAGTGGAGGGGGAGTGGGGGGGGATTGGGTGAGGTGTCTGAGAGAGGGGGGGGAGTGGGGGGGGGGAGTGGGTGAGGTGTCTGAGAGAGGGGGGGAGTGGGGGGGAGTGGGTGAGGTGTCTGAGAGAAGAGGGGAGTGGGGGGGGGGAGTGGGTGAGGTGTCTGGGAGAGGGGGGGAGTGGGGGGGAGTGGGTGAGGTGTCTGAGAGAGGAGGGGGAGTGGGGGGGGAGTGGTGAGGTGTCTGAGAGAGGAGGGGGAGTGGGGGGGGGGAGACGGTGGGTGAGGTGTCTGATAGAGGAGGGGGAGTGGGGGGGGGGAGTGGGTGAGGTGTCTGGAGAGGGGAGGGGGAGTGGGGGGGGGAGTGGGTGAGGTGTCTGAGAGTGGAGGGGGAGTGGGGGGGGGGAGTGGGGGGGGGGAGTGGGTGAGGTGTCTGAGAGAGGAGGGGGAGTGGGGAGGAGTGGGTGAGGTGTCTGAGAGTGGAGGGGGAGTGTAGGGGGGGGGGGGAGGGGGGGGAGGGTGAGGTGTCTGAGAGAGGGGGGGAGTGGGGGGGAGTGGGTGAGGTGTCTGAGAGAAGAGGGG